AGCATCCCGACTGGAATTCTCACCATTCTGTCACTCATTCTCCCCCGGCAGCAACAAAGTGAGCCAGCGTGCTGAGGGCTTCAGGTGGAGACTGTGAACGCTGAAAGCTCTCACAGAGCAGCTCTGAGGACGTATTTAGATGTGCTGCAGCTGTATTGAGATGTACTGAGCCGTATTAAGACGTAGGGACGGAGTATTGAAGCTGCATTGAGAAGCACTGAGGTTGAATTGAGATGTTTTGAGCCATATTTAAATTTGACTGAAGCCGTATTGAAGCTGTATTGAGATGTATCAGAGCACAGCTAATTGAAGCTGAGCAGCAGAGAATGTCGTGCTTTGTAGCTGGATGGGATTGTCCATGCTGCAGCAGCAAGGTATTATGGTCTAAAGGGATCCTTCATGCTATTGTGGTGTAAGGAGATTGTCCACAGTCGAGAGTGAGAAAAGGAGAAAAGCCATGAAGAGAAGGAGCACTCGAGCTGCCAGAGGTGATGTAAGTCTGCTCTGCTGTGTGTTGTCTGTCTGAGCTCTGTGTCCCCATGGCAGAGCTGGGCTCAGATTAAATGTGTCCAGTGTGTGGCCCAGTCCAGCCTCGCTGTGTGATGTGTGGCCCCGGCCAGCCTCTCCATTTAATACGTGGATCAGTTTGACCTCCACATTTGATGTGCAGAGCAGCCTAACCCTTCCTTTGTCCAGAAGAAAAGCCACTAATACTGAGAGCAAAGACCTTTACAAGGCTGGCTCAGGAGTTAGTGTGACACACCCACACTCTGCCTGATGCTACACTGAATGGCCATTTGGTCATCACTCCGTTAGGCTGTCTTACATTTCAATCAGTCTGGCATTTTAAATATTTAACAGCAACAGAACATACTGACAAAAAACTATTAAAAAAGTTAATTCTTGAGTTTAGGAACAGTATTTTGTCGACACAATGTCACATGCAATTACTCTTTTATAGTAGTCATAGCGTTTAGTAGTCTCATTTACCCACCTATTAGCAACTGCTGTTTTTACGACACATAGAAGCATTAGTCGTTTACCAGTGGGATATAAAACGTGAATATCTCTCCCGCTTGTGTTAAGCACAGACCCCATTTCCGGTGTTTAACACAAAAAATGCGGGAACTAAAAGTGATAAAATGCTTAATCATATACCAATTGTTGGACTCATTACTGCACCACTCTGTTCCCATCAGTCCTTAAAGTCTTACCTTTGAAATCAGCAGCCACAGGACTTGCATGTCTGTAGGTCTATCTCCATGACAACTGAGTGAGCTCCATCCACTGTTGCTCCATAAAGACCAAGAAGCAGCTAAAGCTGCATAAAGCGCTAGCAAGTGGACACTCACTTACTTAAGACTTTGGCTTTTTTCTACCACTGTCAGCACTGTCAACTGTTTATTTGTTAACACCACTTTCAAACAAAGATTTAATCCTCATGAAAACCCCCCAGCTGCCTTTTGTCAAATGATACAGCAATGAAGGTAAAGCAATTATTACTGTAATTAAAACACTACACTAGGAAGGAAGCCCACTGTAGTCCCACCCCAGATTTAATTTCTTTATCAACTCTACAGTGGCATGGTGGCTTAGGTACAGGGGGGAGTGTGGCCTCTACTGAGCTCACTGTTAGTGGTTTGATACCCAACTCCTGCTGTCAACCTGTCGAAGTGTTCTTGTGAGAGATACTTAACCCCATATGGTTCCTATAGGCAGGAAGTAAGGAAGGATAGATGGATACTGTATTGATCCCTCTTTGGGACATTGCTTTGTCACAGCAACATTGTTAGAAGGCACTACACAAATTCATCAAAACAAATGTTTTCAATATTTCAATTATTCCCGAAGAAAACGTTCTCACGTTCTTCACAGCGCACAAAGAATACAAAAGTATTGATGAATTAAAGTGAATAGGTTCTGCCTTAAACAATGGCAACATTATATGAAACGTTTTTAATGCAGAATAATTCAAGTCAGAATGTATCCAGTTGTGCAATGAAACCTAAGTCCTTACAATATTTCTGATTCCTTGTCAATTGATCTCCACACATAACCTGAACATTATATGAAAATATGAGATGTTTCATATGTGCATAATATGTAGCTTATTCGTGCCATATGTGTGATGAAAAGGTTTTTGTGTAGCTGAAAGAATTCTCAGCCTTCAATGGTATCTGCCATTAGAAGGGATTGTATTTATTTCACAGTGATGCTAAGTGGGGTGGGGGGGGAGTGTTTTGATAGGAATCCCCCATTGATAAAAAAAAATAATTCAGTTGACAAGCTCCCATTGTGATCCTACAGCAGGTCTTTATTCCGGTATTATCAGAGTCTGCAGGAAAGCCCCCCCCC